ACGGGAGGCGACCCCGTGCCTGCATCCACGCCATGTGCACTCAGCCGTCTAGGCCTTGCCCTCAACGTCACAGTAGCCGAGAGCAGGAGCGGTGATGCCGGCGTCTCAGATACGGTAGAGGGAAGCCACGCGGTGCCCCCATAGGTGAAAGAGGGGGAGAGAGAAGTGATGCACGTGGCTTTTATTTACTTTTTCCCACAGAAACCTTTTATTGAAGGAATACAAACTTCATGCATTTTGTAAATACAACTTTAGGAACAGTGATTCTTCCCACCATATCCCACTCCCACCCCTCTTCCTCCTCCCTCTCCTATTCCCATTCTTATTTTCTACTAAGATCTATTTTCAATTAACTTTATACACACATGATTGACTCTATACTAAGTAAAGAGTTCAACAAATAGTATTTTAAAAAGCAGTTCCTTAACAGTCGAGACAAGGGCTGTTCAAAGTCATTGCATCTCAAAGTGTCAATTTCACCTCTATAGATTGTCTTTCAGGTGCTCTGTTATCACAGGTCAGGGAGAACGTATGGCATCTGCCCTTTGGGACTGGCTTATCTCACTAAGTATGATTTCATTTCATCCATTTTGTTGCAAACGACAGGATTTCACTTTTATTTATGGCTGTGTAGTATTCCACGGTGTATGTATCCCATAATTCCTTTATCCAGTCTTCAGTTGACGGGCATTTGGGGTGACTCCATATCTTAGCTGTTTTGTGAATTCAGCTGCAATAAACACGGGATACCGACAACTCTGTCATATGTGACTTCATTTCCCTTGGGTGAATTCCCAGGACGGGTTGCTGGGTCACATGGTGGGTCTAGATTCAGACTTCTGAGGGCCTCCACGCTGCCGTCCACAGCGGCTGCACCGGTCTGCATTCCCCCGACAGGACTCACGTAGCTGCCATTGCTGTGCATTTTGGTGATTCTTCTACTTTCTTTCAGTCACTATTGTTACTCTCATGCTGTGTCTAGCTGATAAATTCACCTCATTGATGGCACATATGGATAGGAAGATGCAGTAGATACGGGTGCATCCTAACCACAATGCAGGCACCCACTGGGGGTCTTGGAACATGGTCCCCGTGATTAACGGGGCCTGGATGACCTTTGTTATGGGGATGGGGCTGCCCTGGGCATCCTAGGATGCTTGGTAGCTCCCCTAGTCACACCCACCAGGTGCCAGTGGCAATACCTCTCCCCTCGGTTGTGATGAGAGATGTCCCCAGACACTGCCACACGCATGCCCTGATGCTGCCCTCTCTCTGCTGCTCTGAGACCCACTCCCTCCCCACTTAGGCAGAGCTGGCGCTGGGGGTCCCAGGTGAAACTCCCAGAAGCACTTGCCCTGCCTGCTTCCGCCCACCTCCCCTTCCACCTCGCCCCGCCCAGGCCGCTGTGGCCAGAGCTGGCCTCTACTCCCCCGTCTGAGAATGCGGGGACAAAGCCGCGTCCACCCTGCAGTCGGATGAGGAGTGACACAGCCAGTGCGGGTGGAACACGCAGTCCTGGGCGTGCGGTCAGCACAGGGGTCCTTATTCAGAAGCACTTGCCTTTGTTGTGCCGAGCTGGGCTGCAGCAGTACCCAGGTCACAGGCCCTGACCTTGAGGTCTTGGCACGAGAGCAGACACCTCGCTCTGTGAGTGCAGTCCAGCGTAACCAGTGCTGAGCCGGGGAGACACAGGGAGACAGTGGGGGTCTGCAGGAGGACCCCTCACTCAGGAGTTAAGGCAGGAGGGCACCCAGGAGGAGGTGGTTTTGCAGCTATACCCTGAAAGACGAGCACAAGTTGCTGGGTGAGCAAGGTGGGGAGGAACAGCTGGATCGTCTTGAAACAATCTTTTAAAAGCATTTCTGAAGACACAGATCCGATGCCGTGGGCTGTGGTAATGACCACGGCCAAGCTACGTGGGAGGATCCAGAGTTCTTGTCAACCACTCTGAGACCCGGCACGGGAGCGCCTGGCCTCCATGAGGCCCAGGACGGAGGCCCAGCGTCGGGGTTCGTGGCATGCAGGGGACCCGCCCCCTCCCTGCACGCACGGGAGCTTCTCAGATGCGTTCTGCCCTGTGGCTGCTGGGCCTGGTGGCAGGGAGGGGCAGGATGGGCAGGTGAGGACAGGGAATCAGGGCAGGGCACAGAGGCGTCATCCCCTCACCCGCGTGCCCTCTGGGGTCACCAGGACAGCTCTGCCCGTCATGCCAAGAGCCAGGATGATGGACACCTCTCGCCTGTGCTCCCGCAGCTGCCTGGGATGGGGACAGACCGTGCTGGATGGAGCAGAGCCAAGCACGCCGCGGTGGCTAAAACTCGGGTTGGCTGAGGCTTGGAGGTGCCCAGGAAGAGGGGCTCCTGCCTGGACCTGGGAGGCGTGCTCTGCACTGACCACCAAGTGTGCCTGCTCTCCCCGCCCGCACCTGGGGCCCAGGCTGGGCTCCTGATGACAGCCGTCTTGTTCCTCTTTCCACAGTTACAGCCTCCGCGTGGCGTCGCGGTGCGCCCCCGCCGCGGCCCCGTACATCACCAGGCAGTGTAGGAAGCTCAAGGCCCCGGCTGCAGCCCAGCTCCAGGGACCCTTCTTCAAGGATTAGCGCTGCACCTGTGCCCTGACAGGTAGGAGCTGGCGCAGCGGCTGAGGGGCTGTGCTTGGGTGGGGCGGGGAGGAGAGAGAGGCTTGGCTCCTCGGGGACTCAGGGTCGCTCCGACGCCCTGCCCGGCGGGGCCATCCCGCAGCCGTGTAGACTCCTGGTTCAGACCCAGGTCTGCCACTCACAGGGTATGGGGCCTCAAGCAAGTTCCTTTCTCTCTCTGAGCCTCGGTCTGCACGGCTGGGAAATGGGACTACGGTGGGGCCACCGGCTAGGACGCGCCAAATGCAAGCAGTGCACGGAGCGGCGCGGCTGGCCCCCAGCGGTGCTAGGTGAGGCCGGCATCGCTGTGGCTGCCCTCAGTTCTCTTTAGCTTTAGGTCCAGAAAAGACCATGCAGTCCCTGCTCCCACAATGGAGGGGAAAGGAAGCAACACCAATCCATACAGGATAAAACCCAGATTTACCCTGGGCCCACGCAGCCCCTCTCTGAGTTTTCTGATGGCAAAACCCGGAAGCTGGACTCCCCTTTTTGGGGGGCTTTGGGCCGTAGCAGGTCCCAGGCCCGGGCCTCCCCGAGGTCAGCACCCCAAAGAGTGCCCAGACGACGGTGGACACGGGAAGAACTGGGGCTCCAGGCACCAACGCAGACCCCAGGAGCCTGCCCGGGAGGCGTGGCCAGGTGGCCCCCGGCTCGGGGGCGCCCGCTTCATGCAAGGCAGGGGTCAGACCCCTGGCCAGGGTCATCTGGAATGAGAATTCGGTTGTTGAAGGCACGGATAGGCTGGATTCTGGAACGGTGGGGTCTTGTGCGCTTGAACCGGCAGCAGGGACCCCTACCCCTAATACTCCGCCTCCTGCACCCGGGGCAGTGGGAGAGGCCCCCTTCCCCAGAGCCTCCTGGAACGTGGGTGGCCGCCGAGCGCACCTCTGAGGGCACGGGCGCGGGGCCACAGCCAGGCGCTGTCCCAGACACGCGGGCCACATCCGCTGGTGATGACGGAGGGACGCACGTGACGCACATGGTGCGACGCGACGCACGCAGTCTGGGCAGTGGGGATGGCCTGACGTACCTGGGATGGGATGTACCTGGGATGACGTCATGACGCATGTGGCGTCAGCGTAGCCACTGGGTGCCGTAGTCGTGGCGGGTGCACGGCGGGTCCCGGGCTGGGTGGCCACGCACGTCCCCTTGCGGCGGCTGGGGTCCCGCAGGACGGCAGCTCTCGCCGTGCCGTGTCCGAGTCGTCCTCTGTGTTTGCACCGGGCACCCGCTCCATCCCGGCCTGGACCAGCCTCTCCCGGCCCCGAGGCTGGGTGTGCGGTGGGAGGTGACGCCGGTGCCCTGCGCGGGTCCCGGAGTCGAAGGCCGGCCCCAGGCTCCCCAGCAACACCTTCAGCCGGTGTTCGCCCCTTCAGGTCTTGGCTCGCCCGCCTGTAGGCTGGGCTGATGGCGGTGCACACTCGGGGCCGCGTGGGGGACGGGCCAGTGCGGCTGTGGCTCTGAGTGGGGACCTGAGTCGGCCGTGGGAATGACCGTGGGAATGACTGCTGCTAGCGGGTGGGGGCCCGTTCCAGGTCCGGGCTCCTAGTCCACCGAGAGTGACAGATGCCACTCAGCGCTCATCACGCGCGCGCGGCCAGACACCCCGTGTGGAGCAAGCAGGCGGCAGAGCTGTCCCCGGGGAGCCCAGGAGCTCTGCCCCTGCCGCCGGTGTAGGCGCCACTCCTCCTCCCAAGCCTGTGGGTGCGGTGTGAGAGGGGACCTGGCAGCGGGGGACGGCAGAGCAGGCCCAGGACGCACGGCCGGGCGTCTCAGGCCCCGCAGGGCCACTGGGCGATGCGCAGGGCAGAGCTGACCACCGGGAAACACGGCCAGAGTGTCTCCGTGGGACGCGGGTGTGCATACGCGCACCGTCCGTGTCGTCAAGACGCGTCCAGGAAGGTTCTAGCAGCCTTATGCAGGATGGCCCCGGTCTGGACGGATAACCGTGGCGTGCTCCCGCCGTGGAATCCACACGATTGCAAGGACCGGGACGGTGTGCTCAGGCCGGCGACTCCGGCAAACACACCGAGCGAAAGCAGCCAGACACGAAAGGGTTACTTATGTGCTGATCGCTTCGGTTTAAGTTAAAGAGGCAAACCAGTGTGAGGTGGTCAAGGTCAGGGTCGCGGTCACTCCTGGAGTGGAGAGGGTTGGAGGTTATCCTCAAAGGGACCAGGGTGCGAGGTGGGCGGTGCTCTTGCGGCCACGCGGCTGTGTTCACGGGAGCTGTCACCGCGCCCAGCTCTCTGCTGTAGGTCTGGTACACTCCGTTCAACCAGGCGGGTCGTGCATGGACAGCCCAGGGCGGGCGCTGACTGCGTGGCCACCATTGTCACTGTTACTTTCTCTCTCTCCCCAGCACCGGAAGTGACTTGGAATCAGTGAAGCCAAAGGGACCGGCAGGCTGCCCTGCAGGGAGTACCGACCTACCCCAGCTGTGCGTGTGCGTGTGCGTGTGTGCGTGTGGTCTCTGTGCTGACCTCTCAGCCGTGCACGTGTGCGTGGGTGTGCGTGGGTGCGCGTGTGCGTGGGTGCGTGGGTGCGTGGTCTTCGAAGGGTCCTGAGCCCTGGGAGGCAGGAAGGTGACCGGCCTCTAGGGAGACCCCGGGGGCTGTGCGCTGCAGCTCTGCCTCCCGTCAGGGCGGGGCCTCTCCTACTATGCAATTTTTCAAGAGCTCCTCGACCTTGCTTTTTGCTTCTCAAGTTATGTTTCGCCACTGCAGGGACTCCGGTCCAGCACTGGGGGTCAGCTTCAGGCCTGTCCCAGGAAGACCTCCCAGCCTTTCCAAGGCGGCCAATCCCCAGGGCCCCCTCCCTCTCCCTGCAGCACCCCTGGGAGTCAGCACGCCACTGCGGCCGAGTCCACACCCTTGGTCTGAGCCCTTGGAAACCCCGTCAGCTGCCCAAGCAACCCGAGCTGCTGGCTCTTGGGTCATTTCCAGATTTGAAATTCTAGTCGGTTCCTCGCTCTTGAATCTTTGCAGAGAACCCCTAAATGAGCAGGTGCATCCGTGAACAAGATCTCATTGCTGTTCACCTGGGGGAGGGGGCATCTCCTGGGCCATCGCTTGGCCATCTGGGTCGGACACCTGTGAGTGAGCCTTGGAAAGCAACCGCAAAGGGAAGCAGCTAGAACAGGGAAATGAGAAACTTGGGAGGACTCAAAGCACAGGGGGAGGAAGATGGTGGCCACCTGTGGCCGCCACGTGTGGCCTGCCTGGGAGGGACAGGCGGGGCCCTGCGCTCTGGCGTGTCTGAGAGACACAGGCGCGCTGAGCTGAGTCCGGATCCAGTGCAGTGAGGTCCGTGGGTTTTGTGCCTTTGGGGCAGACCCCAGCGAGGATGTCCGAGACCACTTTGGGGCTGTCTTCTCAGCGCCGTCCTCGGTGACTTGCGAAGCCCAGCGTGGGAGGGGGGGACCCGGGGGGAGCAGGAGTTCCCACGCGCAGAAGGGATGCTTTTCTTTCAGGGCTACTACGGTTGATCCCACAACTCTGTAAATATGTACGTAGACACTTTTCAAAGCACGTATTTATGTCCCCCACTGTAAATGCCCCCTTTATAAAGTTTTATAACTTGTGTTATTTAATGAATTGGTCGACTGGCTGCAGAGTGGGGTCTGTCATGGTCCAGGACGAGGGACGCGTGGGATTCCCACGTGGGCAGAGAGGTACACGCGTCTTTCGCCGGCGTCGCCGTCCTCCTGGGTCCTGCTCCGCTCAGAACCGCTGTTGGTTTTTCTGTCACAAACTGAAATCGCTGGGCCCACTGCTCCCGTCCACCTCGCAGGCGTGGAAGGTGCTGGCCGCTCCTGCCCCCGCCATATGATTCCGAGCCGGACACGTCCACCCTCACTGTCCTGGAAGGCGTCTCCCCTGTCAGCACCAAGGAAAGCTCCCGGACCCAAAGCCTGCCGGGGTCACCGTTGTTCGGCCAGAGGCGAACCCGGGAAGATGGCGCGGGGGGCACTGTGTCCTGCGTGTGCAGATGTGGTGGCCGCCCTCGCCCCCGGCCCAGGAGCTCCGTGGGACTGGTGACAGTGGGATGGGGTGTGGGGGTTGTGGGAGAAGACGGCGCTCACTGTGTCTGCCATGTGAAGAGATGAACAATAAAAGCGTGGAGAGAGACTGCAAGGAACATGCGTGGGGGTGATCATTTGAGGGTGCCCGCTTGGTCTTTCGTGTTGGGGGATTTCTGGGCTGGGCTGGGGCCGGCCTCCCAGCCATGGCAGAAGCCCGAGGTTCCCAGGACGCTCAGCGTGGGGACGTCCTACCTGGTGGGCAGGTGCCCTGTGGTTACAGATAGATCCTTCACACAGCTTTGCTAGGGTCTGATTCATACCCCACACAGTTCACCTATTTAAGGGTTGAAGTTGATGTGTCTTAACAATATTTATCTGAAAGGGTGACAGAGAAAGGCGGAGAGTGATCCTCCATCCTCCGATCACTCCCCAGATGGCAGCAACAAATGGGCCAGGCTGAAGTCAGGAGCCAGGGGCTGCATCCTGGTCTCCCACGGGGGTGGCAGGGGCCCGAGGTGTTGGGCCGTCACCTGCTGCCTTCCCGGGTGCATTAGCAGGGAGCTGGATCAGAAGCGGGGACTGGAACCAGTGTGTGATGGGGACGCCAGCGTAGCCCCGTGAGCCGCACTGCCGCCCCTGTGGACGGATGCTTTCCAGTGTGGGCGTGGAGGAGGGGTGCCTGTTGGCCCCTCGCCTGGGCGTTGCAGACGTCGCACACAGGCTTCGCTTGGGGCCTCAGTGGGGAGAGGGGTGAGGTGGGGAGAGCAGACGGAGGAGAAATTAGACAATTTCAGGAAAGAAGTCCTGTGTGCACTGACAGCACAGAGGTGGGCCAACAGGGAGGCTTCCTGGAGGAGGGGACACACAAGACTCCTGTGTACCAGATCAGGTGTCCTCACCTGCTGTCCATACTGGGCCTTAGAAATGCTTCCAGATGTGGTCTCACTGTGCAAGTAGCCTGGAATTACAACGAGAATAACAGCAGCCACTCAGACACGGTTCCCCGGGCACTCTCACGCCTGAGACTCCGGCCTGTTCTTTCAGTGAGCTTTGCCATGGGCAGGACAGGTCCGGTGTCTCACGTGCCCCGAGTGCAGGGGGAGCCAGCCAGCTCACTGGGCCATGTCTTCCCAGCATGCCCCGGGGCCCCATTCCCTGCGTCCCGCCCGCACGTTCATGCCCACATTTCAGCAGCCCACAGGTGTCTCCACAGCCGCTCCACACAGACTCAGGCCCAGAGATGCTGAGCGGCCTGGCCCAGGGCACACAGCTGCTGCATGAGGGCGAGGCATTGGACACAGGCCTCGCAGGGCCCAGCGGCCTGAGTGTGTCCTCCTCACTCATCCCTGCCCCTCCCAGGTGGACACACAGGCCAGGCCCCCAGCCCTGGGCTGCAGAGATCGGCTCCAGGGCTTTGGTTCTGCCCCAGATCCGGGGCCATGTCGGAAGCACAGGCTGAGGGAGGGGGCAACAGCCCCAGGAGGAACTCCAGCCCTTGCCCTGTGGCTCGGACTTCGGGCTGGCCATTGGCCTTGGTTCCTTCTTTGTAGGGGGATGATCACACCCAGGTTCCTACACCTTAGCAACCACGAGTTAACTCACCTGGCTCTGGGGCCACCTGTCCTTACTGTGGAGAGAGTCCCGGACCCGCCCCACCCCTGCACCTGTTGAATTCAAAGGTGTGATTGGAGGGTGGTGTGGGAGAGGAACAGAAGTCCTGGACCTAGGCTACCTGTGTGGCCAGCAAGCTCCGTGTGTGCCACCAGGCTGAGGCTGAGGGTCGTAGCCACTGCACCGATTGCAATAAGCTCTCCTGGCCCCAGCCTGCCCCGGGTCAGATTTCCTGCCTGGAGCTTGGAGCTGGCGTCCAGCAGCGTCTCTGAGTTCTTTGAGCAGCCGCTGGGCTTGGTACCGGGTCACTGCTAGGAGAGGGGAGATGGGTTCTGAAAATGCACCTGCTGACCTGGCAGCCTGGGTCTGAGGAGAGGAGAGGGGTGCTGGGGGCGGGGCTCCGCGGCAGCAGCACCAAGAATGACTTCCCGGGACAAGGTCGGGAGAACTGAGTGGGGAGCCTAGGACTTTGGTGGGGTCTGGGGTTTAGCAAAGCGCAGAGTGACTGGGTCTATGTGTGCGACACGAGGACATCAGAGGAGCCCACGCACAGGGCGTCCCTAACACAGCTCGGCCTGGCACCCTGCGTGGGTGCTGGCCCGGCCGGAGTGAGAGCAGCGCGCACCTGAGGCTGCAATGCTGCTTCTTGCCAGCAGGTGGGGCCCTCCCCTGAGTCCAGGCTCCAGGATGTCAGGCCTTGGACAGGCAAGGGGCTGGGCTGAAGTTAGAAACAGCCTGGGGACCACATCGGTGCTCAGCCGGGGGCCGCATCCCCCACCTCTGGGCTCTGCAGAGGCAGGCCTGGGACCCCCGCAGGGGTGCAGCTTGGGGGTGGCCAGAAGTCCCCTGGCCCTGGGGAGACAGAACTGTGGAGCCCTGAGAAGGGGTCCCCCCACCCCTTTGTCACAGCAGGGCTGGCGGGGAGCAGGAGGGTGGCAGGCAGCACCCAGGCCGGTGTAGAGCGGGGCCTGCAGCCTGACCCGGGGTGGAGCGCAGAGTGCATTTCTCTCTCCACCTCCTCCAGCAGCCAGACACCAAGGGCAGGTGGGCTGACAGGCTGAGGCAGGTGGGAGGCCACACCCGCCCCTGGGACTGGCCGAGCAGTGGGCTTCGATGCAGGGCCGGGGAGAGGCTGGGCCCAGGAAGAGTCAGCACAGGCGTGGATCTGAGACTGGGGCCTCCCCAGCTTTGGGCCCTAAACGCCTTCCCCGGCTCCCTGAGTCCCGGCAGCTTAGGATGCTATGTGCACGTCTCTGGACCTGATGATGTCATTTGAAAGCCCTCCCAAGCCCCGCCCTGTGCACCTGGAGTAGACACCCCCCCGCCCCCAGTTTGGAAGACCCTCTGGCTCTCGCCACCCCCCCCCCCCACCTCTCCTCTCTGCTCAAGCACGGCAACTGTCTTTCTATGCCTGGATTACAGTAGCTCCCTGCTGCCACAGGGCCTTTGCACAAACCACCTCCTCCACTCGCAATGACGTTCTTCCCAGTGGTCACACGGTACGTGGCTTCAGTGTCGTCTCCTTAGCGTCCTTCCCTGACGGCTCAGTGGAAAGTAGCTCCTGTCGTCGCGTCACACGGGCCCGTCTCATCTCAGCAGGTACCTCTCCGTGAGATTTTCTGGCCTCTCTTTCTCTAGAACATCAGCCCGTGAAGGCAGAGGGCCCACGTCCGTCTGGCTCAGGGCTCTGTCTACACCGGCGACCGCACCCGCACACAGAAGGCTCTCAGGATCCACTCCAGGATGTCCCGAGGGGCCTCCCGGGGGGCGTCAGTCCTCGTGGGAACCCTGGTGGGGTGGAAGAGGTGGGTTTGCAGGGGGGTGCAGGCCGAGCAGAGCATCCCGCCCCATTCTCAGCCGCTTTTATGTGTGTGTGTGGGGGTGCTCTGTGATCGTCTCTGGGGCCTGGGAGAAAGGAGGGGATTTCTATTTCGAGTGTTGCTGTGTCAGAGGGAGGACAGCCAGGAAGATGCAGGACGTCTAGTTCCACAAGAATTGCAGAGTGAAATTTTTTTAAAGATTGATTTATATATTTGATAGGCATAGTGATGGGTTGGCAGGGGGAGAAAGAGAGAGATCTTCCACTCACTGGTTCACTCCCCAAATGGCTGGGAGCACTGGGGCTGGGCCAGGCTGAAACCGGGAGCCTGGACCTCCATCCAGGTCCCAAGTGCAGTGCAGGGTCCCAAGCACCTGGGCCATCCTCCGCTGCCTTCCCAGGTGCCCTAGCAGGGAGCTGGACTGGAAGCAAAGCCCACATGGTCTGTCTGCGTTGCAGATAAATCATTTTGAAGTGTTCAGTAAGCTCCCTGGGGCCAGCCTGTGGCATAGACGGTTAAGCCTCCCACCTAGGGGACCTGGAAGCAGCTCCTGGCTCCTGGCTTTGGCCTGGCCCAGCCCCTGCCACTGTGGCCATCCTGGGAGTGACCCAGTGGGTGGAAGAACCCTCTCTCTCTCTCTCTCTCTCTCTCTCTCTGTAGCTCTGCCTTTCAATTAAATAAAAAATATTTTTAAAAAATGCTCCAAATACTGCCCTGGGCGCGCTTACCCTGACCTGAATTGCCGCAGTAACTGGGCATCCAGTTGTTGTTTGAGAGACCTGGTAGCCCTGCGGGAGGGCTGGGAGGGAGGGCCCCCCGCCCTCACCAAGTCCCCTCCCCGAGCCGGGACACCTTGCTGGGCCTGGTGGCACTCTGCAGCCTGCAGCCGCTCCCCAGCCCTGCATTCGAAGGTCACCTGGCTCACGTGGCCCTGAGGACTCTGTGGAGAGCTCACGTGGCTCTCAGTGCCCGCCTCCGTCTTCGGACTGTGGCCGTGACCTCTGCTTCATGCACAAGGTCAAAACTGTTTACCATCATTTTTTTTTTTTTTAATAAGCAGCCTGCCCTCCCTGCTGGGTTCGAGAAAGACTGCACGGGCCGGGCTGGGCCTCAGCTCCTGGGATGCTGTGCAGCAGTCTGTCTCGGGGGCCAGGAAGGGCTCCCATGGCTGCAGGGCGTTCCTGGGCCACGTGCCGTGGGTGCTTTCACACCAGCCGTCACCCAGGGCCTCTGGGCCTGTCCCGTGGTGTGGCCTCCATCTGCTGCACCTCATTCGGGTGTCCTTAGATGCTGGCAGCAGGGCTACGGCACAGAGCAGAGGGAGAGCAGGGGTGAGGTGCACGTGACACCACGGTGGGACCCAGGGAGAGGTGGCCTGCACCGTGGGCCAGCTCCACCCCCGTGCGTGACGCCTTAGGCCCAGGGTGTGCCTGGCTCCCAGTGGGCACAGAGCCTGTGCGTGCTGCCTCAGCCCCGAGGCCCGTGTGAGCACTTAAACACCACAAAAGTCAGGTGGAAGATGGCCCCATCCACCTCTCCATGCAGCAGCCCCCCGGCTCTTGCCTGATGCCGCCCAAGCCCCCCGTCCACCAGTCAGGGCAGCTACAGGGCTCCTGCTGGGAGGGAATGGGCAGCAGGGCCCTCCTGGCAAGGTGGGCTCCAGGCGCAAGCCAGCTGCCTTGGGC